AGCATTTTACGTGGTTGTTTCTTTGCAGACGTAACAAGTTTAATTCCACTTTTTTTAACTTTTTTGTACACAATGTTTTTTTCCATTTTTAGGACTATTATTTGGAATATTTTCGCCACAGTATACTGTGTATTGACTAGTGCTACGTATGGACTGCGGGCCGAACTCTCGTAGGAGCAGAAGCCTTGCCACATGGCCTTTAGCTTCTGCTGCCTTTCTGTTATAAACATAAGAAATAAAGTCAATTAAATTAAAGATTGAACGGACGGACAGAAGCACGGACGGGCTGACGGACGCTTCGCCCTATACTCATCATCATTCACTCCGTAGATATGCTGTGATTTTTTTTTTTTGTGTGGCTGTTGGACGTTGCATAGTCCGTGAGCTTATTATGAGCTCGTAGCCTGAATCAATAATCCCTCGTATACCTGAAGGCACCAAGTCTGTCAGAATGAGACCCTCGCTATGAGTGATGAAAAGAAGTGCATTTAGCGCTCGTTTTCTTTGTTAGACATAGCCCCCTATATTTTTCTTGCCTGCCGGATGAGCGTGAAACGCCATCATTTATGGCGCGCTCGCTACGCAGGGATGTTAGACAGAAAGCTAAGCAGCGGGGGGAACCGACAGATGATGTTGAAAGAAAATGGGACATCTTTCTAAGCCGTAGAAGGAAAGCATCCCTTCTTATCAATGGAAAGATTAGAAGAAAGGGATTTAGTGGCTGGCAAAGTACATAAAAAGGATAAAAAGGCAGCTTCGAAAATTTTGGAACCATCTAAACTCCCTAAGAAATGAGACAAGCCTAGAGCAGAGGTTTATAACTACAGCTCAAGGTGCTAGGCTACAAGAGGACGAAGCTAATGAATATATAAGAACAAGGGTGACGAAAAAATTCCAACAAAGAAGTGCATTATGCACCACAATAGACAAGCATGGATCAAGTGGCGCAATGGCTCCATTTTCACAATGAGAGTGGGAAGGGCTGAGGATGAGGGTTCCTAGTAGTACATCAACAAGCCCAGATGCCATTCCAATTATGCTGATAAAGACATTGGGTCCGAAGTCTAAACAGACTTGAGAGAGGCAGTGAGCAAAACAATAATCGATGGTGGAAGTCCCCGAGGGATGGAAACTTAGCAGGATGAGCATGATCTATAAAGGAAAGGGGGACAAAGCTGACATACACAACTACCGTCCTATAACCGTGACATCAGTGGTCTACAGGCTGGCGATGCAGATTATAAAGGAAAAACTGCAGGCGTGGATAGAGGATGAGGGGGTGCTGGGGGAACTGCAGAATGGTTTCGGAAACACGGGAGGTTGTACGACAATCTGTGCTCACTGACGCAGTGCATCAAATAGCAGAAAAGGAACACAGGCCCCTGTGGCTACCATTTTTGGATACCAAGGGAGCGTATGATAACGTGGTTCAAGAGGACTTGTGGGGAATACTGTACGCACTAGGTGTGAAGGATGGAGTCACTAATATTTTAAAGGATATCTATAAAAGTAACAAGCTAGTTATAAAGGGAAAAAGAGGCATCCAAGCCCGCAGAGGTAACACGTGGGCTTAGGCAGAGGTGTTCCTCTGTCACCCTTGTTATTCATGATGTATCTACAAGGTTTAGAGGCCAAATTAGAGGGAAGTGGACTTAACTTCAACGTCTCTTTCGTCAAACAAGGAAAACTCATTGAACAGGCACTACCAGCATTGATATACGCAGATGATATAGCGCTTATGGCCGACAACAAGGAAGATTTGCAGAGATTGATGGCCATCTGCAGTAATGAGGGAGATAGGTTAGATTTCAGAGTCAGTAAAGAAAATCACCAGTCATGATTTTTATTGATAATAAAGGTAGTTAGCTAAGGATACGGGAGGTCATGCTAGAGATAACAGATAAATACAAATATCTGGGTGTATAAATAAGCAATGGAACCGAGTACCTAAGGGAACACGAAATATACGCACCGACTAAAGGTAATAGGAATGCAGCAGTGATGAGTAAAGCACTGTGGAGTTAGAATAGGTGTGATGTTGTAAGAGGAATATGGAAGGGGGTCATGGTTCCTGGTCTGACGTTCGGCAATGTTGTCTTGTGCATGAGATCAGAAGTTCAAGCAAGATTAAAAGTTAAGCAACGTGTAATAGGTAGGCTTGCTTCAGGAGCTTACGGGAATACACTAAATCAGGGTGTACAAAGTGATGTGAGATGGACATCATTTGAGAGCAGGGAAGCTAGCAGCAAGATAAAATTTGAGAAGTGATTGAGAGAAATGGGGGAGGAGCGTTGGGCTAGGAAGGTTTTCAGCTACTTGTACATGAAGAATGCCGATACAAAATGGAGGAAGTGAACCAGAAAATTTAGGGGTAAATACTTAGATAGCAGCAGGGGCCAAATCAAAAAGAACAGTTGGTTAAGAAGAAGGTGAAGGAAACTGAGACCGAAATGTGGATAATTAGCATGATTAAGAAGTCCGCACTAGAGATCTATGGACTTTTAAGCAGTAAATTGCCAAGGAAAGGATCTATGATAATACTCGGGGTAGTTCTCTACTGTTTTGAGGCCAGGACGGGAGTATTGCGAACCAAGACATATCGGCACAAGTACGAAGGGGTAGATACGGTATGCAGTGCGTGTGGAGAGACGGAGGAAACTGCCGAACACTTGACAATGTTCTGTAGAGAGGTTCACCTTATAGCGCAGGATGATGGCTCAGAGTTCTTCAAAGCATTGGGGCCTGGTTTAGGGACAGGAAGGGCAAAATTAACTTTAAGCGGGTAGAATTAACTATAGAAGGAGGTTATCTGATTGGTGGCTAAAGTCAAGGCACGAGTGAAAATTAAACCCTTCACTGCAAAGCACCAGTCCTCAACTTCACGATTCAAATGAAAAAAAAAGATAAATCTGATTGTTGGTTCACTGAGTATTATGGCTAGGTGACGTTAGCCGCTGCCCGATCTAAAGGGTACAGCCACAATAATTCATCCATACATCCAAGGGTTTTTGTACTTGGCACGGAGGAAGGAAGGTCCTTCCTTCGTGGTACTGGCCTTTCAGATTAGCAACTTTGGCGTGTTGCTAGTTTAAAGGCCCATGTCTTGTAATGAAGGGGTTGCCCGCTGAATGAGCGCGAAACGCCTATCATCTATGGAGGCGTCATTTACGTAAGGTTAATTATAGTTACAAATTTTTAAAGGCGTAAACGTAAAGTTATTTTTGTCGCACATATGCTCCAAAACGTGAAAATGTACTTGAAGACGACCCTACTTAAGTGGCGCCACCACTGCAGTTCCGACGACGGCCGCACCCCAAGTATACCGCAAGTTACAGTGTACTAGAAGAGTACCCCAAGTGACCACTGATAATCCGGCAGGCAAGGAATATCTAGGATACCTTGGTTACACACAATATTAATGAGGTCTAACAGGTCATCAGGCCATGGCATGATTGTTTGTGTCTAAGAAAGATAATGAATCCTTAAATGAACTTCTTTCTTTTTTTTCGTTTCGACACTTCCTGATGGGCAATCAATTGAAGCTATACTTGGTTATGCATGCTTTATTCACTGTGATGGATGAAATAAAGTAGTTCACATGAAAAACTGAAAGATGAGTGCTCCCTGCCTTTTGCAAGATGAGGTACACTTACCAGAAGCAGCTTAGTAGTTTATAATGACGCCGTTCATCAAGATTCATTGCAATGGCATCGAGCGGAGTTGTGATGAATTAACAAATATTCACAAATCACCTCCCGTCTTTTTTTTTCACTGTAGCTAAATAATATTGCACTCATACGCGAGCAAAATTAAGTCCTAGGGGTTTTTTTTTTGTGTCATGGCAAACACACGAAGTCATGATAAATATCACGCCAAAGGGGCATGCACACGCTTCCTGATTTACGTTGAGCACCACGTACTTCGCCCGTCGCAACATAGTCCGCGCATACACCACGTCGTCCACCGTAAAACGATTGCCAGCAGCCGCGAAATCATTTGGCAGCAAAAAGCTAAAACATTCCTGCATCCGTCATGTCTGCCGCGCACGGACGGCTCAAGCCTCAAGCTGTGCGGAGCATGACTTCAGCACGACAGCGCGCAAACGAAAGTTTCTTGCGTCGTGGGAAACACATAATCGCACACTAAAGGGGCATGCACTCCCGGAAAATATTAAACACCACGTCTTCCATCGTAAAACGATCTGCACAGCCGCGCGTGACACATGTCCACGAAAAACCCAAATTTCTACGGCATTCAAAAAACGTTTTTTTTTTTTTGTTATTTTATGCCCTCTAGCTCAGTCCGCGCCAAACTACTTAGTCTCATAAATAGGGAAAAATTTTTTGGCAACGTAAATAAATGACCCAGACGAGTTTCGCACTTCGAGGAACGCGTGAAAATTCTTTCACCCATACTCGTGATTGTTGGAAAAACACTGGATGATTTGGCATGGAACGAACCAGTAGTGGCGTGTCACTGTCGGAGTCACTGCATACTAATTCACACATATCGTATACCGTTCTTTTAGCGCCCTATGAACACGCGGCGCATCTGCGGAATTGCTTTCCGTGATGTTACCCTGCGATTACAAGTCACTGAGGAGCTGCCTGCTCAATATCGAAACCGAAAGTGTTTTAGGTAGACTACTAAACATATAGGTATGCCAAAGATTATTGCCGGGATGCATTTGCAAGCACCGCGATACTACAATTACTAAAATCTAGTTCACTGTAACCTTACTGCTTTAGGCATAGAGTTAATGTTTTAATCAAAATTATTGAATTATATGGGTTGTGAAATTTCGTGTATCAAAATGCAGACACGTCACATTGCTCGGCTAAAAATGACGTCTGTGCTCTTTAAAAAAAAAGAGAAAAACATTTAACGGTGGTTGCCGTATTTTAATTTTGTTTTTTCTTTGATGTCATTGATATTGGCAACATCTTTAAATGTTATTTGCGTTGCGAACATGGCTTTTCTTTCTCCATGGATATGAAAAGAGCCGCAGACATCGTCGTCATCACTTTCAGCTTAGCTGCTCGTGCGTGTTGCCGTGGCACCGTGGCGTTGTTTACAAACTTGCTTGCATTGCAAAGGAGTAGCCTGCGTAAAGCGCGCTCAAAAAAGTGGCGATATTCCATTTTACAACGCTATGCACCTCGTAGTTTTGACAGCAGTCGCAAGTGCGGTGCTGTTGTCGTCGGTGCTAGTCTCTCTGACTGTGCATCATGCTCAGCCAGCGCCGTATATGGATGAAATCTTCCACGTTCCGCAAGCACAGAATTACTGCGCCTACAACGTGTCTCACTGGGATCCGATGATTACTACACCACCGGGACTCTACCTGACGTCGGTGCTGTTGCTGCTTCCTTTCAGGCTTGTTACGAACGCTGAAGTATGCACGCTGTTCGCTTTGCGTTGCTGCAACATAGTTTTGACGCTGGGAAACTTCTGCGTCTCGTCGTTGATCGCGATCAAGCTTGCCGGAGCCGCTGGAAACAAAGTCCGCGCGAAGCTCGTCCTGTCCAGCGCCGCAATGTCGTTGCTACCGGTGCTGCACTTCTTCACATTTCTCTATTACACCGACCCGGGATCCGTACTCTTCGTGCTGCTCATGTACCTGTACTCCCTGTTCGATCGTCACTACGTCGCTGCGTGCTTCGGAGCTGTAGCCGTGCTGTATCGACAGACCTCCGTCGTGTGGGTATTCATGGTCGCCACCTGCAGAGCTTTGGAAATTGCCGAAAGTGTGTTTACTGCGAGCGACAACAAACCCGAGGGCCTTACGTGCGCCGTCGCCGCGATCGTCTCCGCTCCGATGAAACAAGGGCGCCTCATCGCGCACATTGCGAGGATAGTGCTGAGTGAGTGCGCGGGTTACGTGGTCGTGGGGCTGTCGTTCGTAGCTTTCGTGCTCGCGAACGGCGGAATCGTTCTCGGCGACAAGTCTTCGCACCAGGCGTGCGCGCACCTGCCGCAGCTCGGCTACTTCGCGCTCTTCACGCTCGTTCACGCCGCTCCGTACTTGTTGCAGCCCGGCATTGTCAAGCGCTTCTTCGAAAGCGTTCGCCGAAGGCCTTTCTTATACGCGGCTGTTACTTTAGCCTGCCTTCTGGCCGTGCAAAACTTCACCCACGTTCACCCGTATCTATTGGCGGACAACCGGCACTTCCCTTCTACCTTTGGAGGCGGCTGTTGGGCAGGAACGAGCTTGTTCGCTGCTGCCTAGTGCCGCTCTACATCTACGCAGGATACGCCATGTCTCACCAGCTGCGCCATAAGGAACCGTGGTGGCAGCTTCTGTTCTTCGTGTGCGTCGTCGCGTCCACGGTGCCCCAGAAGTTGCTAGAATTCCGCTACTTCGTCGTTCCCTATCTGTACTTTCGGCTGCAGTTGAAAGACGTCAAGTATTGGCAAGTGCTCGCGGAACTAGTTGCCAATATTGCTGTCAATGTAGCCGTGCTGTGGCTGTTCTTAAACCGCACGTTTACGTGGACGGGTGAGCCGGCCGTTCAGAGGTTTATGTGGTGATTCGCCAAATAGTTCAATCTGCATGTGTCTACTTTGCCCAAAAAGTGATATTGTGATCTCGCCTGTTGTCAACAGGCCAACCTGAGTGACGGAGGAGCTGGAAGTGATGGGAAATATCGCAACCCACCAGCACACAGTCACGAAGAGCAAGAAGGAAGCACAACAGCAGTACTGCTTATAATCATTGTGCACTAGTGGATCGCACTGTTACACCCACAACTCGGGTTTTCAATGTGCTGAAAAAAAGTCATGAGTTCCTATTGCTTTGCAGGGCTGCATCCAGTGGACACAGATCATGATGGGTTAGATGAGTTGCTTCTCATCATCATTTTCCTTGCCATTAAGTTATATGAAATCATCAAATAAAAACTACAATTCACTGTGGTACGATGCATTTTCGATGTCTCTTCCTCTTGTTTGCAAAGTGAGCTCATCAGTTTGAATTCTTGCTTGAAAAGCTGCTCTAATGTTCTTGCGTTGATGTTCATTGGCACAGCTGCTTGTTTTGTTTTTTAACAAACATTTTTTTTCTTTAAAGGCACCCTGAAATGGTTTTGACAATCTTGTACCAACACATTGGACTGGTAGACGAGTCCTAAGGGTCATTTACAGACCAATATGAGCTCTCTGTGTAAACTGTGTAATTCGCTATAATGCTTTAAAGCTGAGACTCACAGCAGATCACTGCGACTCAGCCAAACGTGTTTCAACCGCCACACAGAACAGCATGCTCTGGTAACGCGACGTTACCGAGCTGCTGACCTGATAGGTTGTGGAATGCACGAAAACTAAAAATGGTTAATAGGTTGGTGGCACCTGTCAAGAAGATACAAATCACTCCACAATCTTCGTCTCTGTTGCCAGACAGAGTGATGGCGTCTGAGATAGCCCGCAACCTGTCGGCATACAATCTCGGAGATCTGGACTGGGCCAAGCTCAAATCGATGAGTGAGCTCATGACTATTCTGCGATCGCCTGCGTGTCTCATGACTTGAGGACGCAAGGCAAAGATGAGAATTAGCAAGAGTATGATATAATTGTGGCCTATAAGTAGTGGCCTTAGTACACGGCATGTCTCTAAATTTATGGTGGGAATGGTTTGATAACGCTTTAGCCTAAACACTCCCTGTTGTGTGCCGAGATGAATTCCATGTGTGGAAACCCTATGCATTCTTTATGAAGTTGATTAAAGGTGTAACTTGGAGCCCTAAATTTCTGGTATAGCTAGTCAGTCGCAGCCCTACTGGGGTTGTGTGAATTTTTTCAAAAAATAGAGTTAAATATAGTTCGTCACCATAAAAAACCTTGGGCCTGCACAGAACGTGCAGCACAGTTGCTAAAGAAGCTCGAAGGGCAGCCTTTCGGAGCTTTTTCTGAACACTTTTTGGGTAACAGCTACGAGCTTTCTTTCAGGGTACCACACTATGCCATTAATCATCATAATTTTTATGAAGTAGTATTCACTATACCATCTTTTGTATTATTTGGGAGAAGTGTGATGTTCACTACACGCTTGCAATGAATTTGTGCAATCTTTCGATGCTGTGGCTGAGGACACAGAATTATGCCAAAACCTTTTGTAATGGGTCGGAGCATTCGACAGCCCACTAGTTATGCAATTCATTGGTGTGATGCTCGGTTGTTTCTTTGCTGCTCTAAAACGCTTATTACTTGTAATAGGTAGTTGAGAATTCAGGGCCAGGACACTGGGTTCGCAAGCTGCATTTGTTGGTTGCTCTTGCGTTCGGAGGATCAGCAGAGTTTGAGAATCGGGTCAGCACAGACTGCGTTAAGTCAAACGCACGGGGCATCAGATGGGGGGAAGTTTTCATTATGCGAGACGCATGGATATACTGCATCGTGGCGCGCGTTGCGTCTGCGTTGTCTCACCCGAGGCAAGATGCCTTGAGCACCCACACTAGTTTTTGCTTTTTGGGCTTTGGGTCAACACGAACGCGAGAGACTGAGATTGGCTGGCGTTCTGCGCATGCGCCTTGGCGGGTAGCTAAACTTATTGTGTTCCCAATTCTCAAACTCTCTCTCAACGCAATTTTTTTCCCTATACCAATCCTGCCTAAGGCCAGTTGGCAACGGAGTTTAAAGCACCAATGTGGCTTGAAACTCCGTTTTGAGCCACAAGAACTCAAAGAATCGAGGACAGACGGATGGCTATAGAAACTATACTGGGATGGGTACTGCAAGGGCGGTCGAGCAAAGCAAGAAAAACTAACACAATCAAGCAGTCATGGTTCTAAAGGTCGAAGCTGCGGAGACAGAACTCCAGCAAGAGCTACAGAAGTTCTGGAGTCAATGGGAATCACAAAAAATAGTTTGGATAACACCGAAAATGAAGTGGTCGAAGAATTCAAGCGCAAGATTGTACAACAAAATGGTCGCTATCAAGTCAGCTTGCCATGGAAACAGGACGTAAACGTGGAAGCAACAAGGAAAATGCGATAAAAGACTACAGCAACTGACTAAAAAGCTGCAGAAAAATGAAGACATGCTGTATCGCTACGACAAAGCTACATCAGAGTATATGGCATTAGGAGTCGCCAGAGGAGGTCCAAGAGCCATCAGAACAGCCAAATGAACTTGCTACTACATGCCACATCATGCAATCATTAGAGAGGACCGAGCCACAACAAAGGTTCGCGATTGTTTGACGTCTCATCACATTCTTGAAAAGGCATGTCTTTAAACGAGAACCTAGAGGCAGGACTCAATTGAATGAGGACATGCTATCGCTGCTCATTAATTTCGGAAAAGAAAAGGTGGCATTAGTTGGAGATGTTGAAAAGGCATTTCTACAAATCTCTATACATGAAGAGGATAGAGATGTAATGAGATTTCTGTGGTGGAAGCATGACGCTGAAGGAAGGTTAATGATGAAGTGCAAACATGGCGCATGACAAGAGAAACGTTCGGAACAACACCAAGCACGTTTATACTGGCAGCTACAATTAAACACCATTTGAAACAAGTGGAAGACCAGTTTCCTGATACGACAAGGACACTGCAGAAAGCGATCTACGTGGATGATGTCATTTTGGGAGCAGCAACGCTTGATGAAGCAGTTAAGTTGTACAAAGAGGCAAAGCAAGTGTTCAGAGAGGCAGCGATGAATTTGAGAAAATGGACATCCAATGAAGAGCGATTAAACAAAATAATTGATGAAAACGAAAGGACGATTCTCACATAGATATTCGATCTAGAAGATTACAATGCTTCGGCTTGATATGGAAACACTAAAGGACATGATTTGCTTCCCTAGGAAAAGTGAATTATTAACAGATACAACGCATGACAAAAAGGGCCGTGTTACAAACCACAGCGAAGATATTTGACCCACTCGGTTTGTTGTCGCCATTCACAGTACGCGCGAAAATAGGACTGCAGAGACTGTGGAAAACGAACGTCACGTGGGACGACCAGCTCCCTAAAGATGAATGCGACAAATGGAAGAACCTTATGTCTGAAGCGGAGGACTTTCGAGTTCTAGAAATCCCACGATGCTACGCAAGCAAGAATCAACCAGTACAAGCATACAAGCTGCATGTATTTGCCGACGCGAGCCATTAGCATACGGAGCGGCAGCATACTTGATAGCAGTATACCACGATGGAAGCAAAGAATCAAGGCTAGTAACAGCAAAAAGCGCGTAGCTCCAATTAAAGAGCTGACATTGGCGCGACTTGAACTGATGGCAGCGGTGGTAGAAGATTATGCGACTACATCAAAGGTCACTTCAACGAAAGTTTCAGGAAATACACTGCTGGACGGACTCGATGATTGTGCTCACTGGATCAAGGGAACAAGCAAAAGGGATCGTTTGTTGCCAACAGAATCGCAGAAATTAGAGAAAAAACACTTCAAGCAAGGTGGTCATTCGTTCAAAGTGACGACAACCCTGCTGACCTACTTACACGATGAATAAGCGCAAAGGCATTGATAACGTCAGTCATGGTAGAAGGTCCCGAATGGGTAACATCACTGGAAAAGAACTTAGTAAGCATAATTGGCACAAATACAGACGTGGAAGACCAGCATAAAACACAATGTCACCAATGCATGGGAAGAGCCGAAATGAGCCAATCTTGGAAATCGAAAGGTATTCATCATACGGACGGCTTATGAGAGTGACAGCATGGGTGTTCAGATTCATAAACAACACAAGAAAGGAAAATCACAAAGGGCCGTTGACAGGAAAAGAGGTAACAAATGCAGAGAAATACTGGATAAGACAGACCCAAATATCACTGAGACAAACAAAGGGTGAGGCCTATTCAAACACTCATCATTTGAAATTAATGGACACGAAGTATACCTTGATGACGATGGAATCATCAGACAGAAGGACGATTGCAGTGCAGCCAAGAATTCAACAAGCACGTAATAGTAATTCCAAAGGATGAGCATTTCACGGAACTGCTAATACGTCACGTGCATAAAATGGTATCACACGGAGGAGTTCAAGTGACGCTAGCGCAACTTCAAACTAAGTTCTGGATATGTAGGGTAGACAAGCAGTGAAAAGAGTTCTAAAATGTGTCATTTGCAAGAGGCATAAACTCCAGACCGGCGACTCAAGACATACCTCTACTTCCGGCAGACAGAGTCACTGAAGCAGAGCCATTCAAAGTTACGGGAGTTGACTTCACAGGATCTCTTTACGCAAAGGACAAGAACCAGATTGTGAAGCAATATGTACTGATATTCACCTGCGCGGTAACAAGAGGAGTACACTTGGAAGTTACCATCCATTTGTCATCGTCAAGTTTCTACAAGCACTCCGACCATTTACAGCTCGATGGGGAATGCCAGCAGTAATCTACTCGGGCAATGCCAAAACAATTATAAAAGCTGGAAAGGAAATCAACAGAATGCTCGAAACAATTAAAAACGAGGTCTTAAAGAATTACTGCAGTGGCCAACAAATTCAGTGGAAAACGATAGCCGAGTGCGCGCCATGGAGGGGAGGATTTTACGAGCGCCTCATAAGAAGCT